ATTCTTCAAGTTGTGCAACCACTCTCACCCTCCTTTCCTGACTTGTTCCTTCCCCATTAACATAAATTCTCTGCTCCCTAGGCTTCTACGTAATCTTTTGAGTTAATGTTGTCACTTTGATCCCATATAGTTCTCAAAGGAGCATAATGCTCAAAGTAGATATTTTTTACCAGTTAAGTTAAACTATTGTTTGGTTTCAAAAAGATTTCAGGGGATAGTTTTGGTTTAAGGTTTAAAGATTATCTCAGGGCAATCAATAGTTTCAGGGTTTCATCCAGCCACCCTTGGCTCCAAAAAGCCTGCAGTTCATGAGAATCTGAAATTCTGTTCTGCATTTTTCCCATTTGATAAGGATTCTTTACAGAATCTTCTATAAAATGTTCAGTAATGATGGCCACGCACCATCCAGTTCTTCTGGTCTCCGGGCAAAGGAGGAAAGTTGTTCATGGAAGAAATTAGCTACACATTTCATGTCCTCCTATTCCTGACTCTCTTTCTCTTTTGCTCTGGGTGAATAGAGATCAATTGTGTCTTTTTCTTTTTTTAAATTGTGCTCTGGGTGCAAATTTACACAGCAAACTTGTTTTACATTCAACAGTTCATGCACATCTGATTTCACAGCCCTAATTACCATTCCCAACCATAAAAAACTGTTCTTCCCTCTCCTCCCTGTGACTACCCCCTCCCTGAACCCTTCTTATCTATGCATTCCTGTCTTCCCAGCTTTCCCTCTATGTGAATGCTACCCCTCTGGTGTCTCATGGCTGAATGATCCAGGGGGTGCATCTCCCTAGAGTAGGTGGGTGCATTGATCTGGGGTAAGTGTTGTATGTAGGTCTTTCTACTGTTGGGCTGCCAGCCAATCCATGGAAGTGAGTCCATTTCTAGGCCCTAAGAATAACCCAGGGCCATAGTCTCAGGGGTTCCACCAGTCTCTATGCAACCAATAATTCTGGTCATTTTTGTGTTTTTGAAATTTGTTTCACATTTTTCCTCCCACTCTATCCAGGATCTCCAAATTTGAATCCTTTACAAGCAGTTGGCATTGGTAGCCAGGCACCATCTAGTTTTTCTGGTCTCGGGTCTTGGAGGCTGAGATCCTCTTGGTCCATCTTATCTTCGGACTAATTGTTTCCAGATAACTTTTTCTTTACTCTTCTTTGCTCCAGATGAAAGGAGACCAATAGTTGCATCTTAGATGGCCACTCAAAAACTTTTAAGGCTCCAGTGACTACTCACCAAAGCAGGTTGTAGAATAAAATTTTTGACAACTACGTGTGCCAATTGAGCATGATGTCCCTTGAGACTATGGTCCCGAGCCCCAGGCCTGGTGATTCTCACAAGATATTTGGTTGTCTCTGAGAAGTTACTCCAACCCTGTCTTCTGTTGCTTCTATAATGTATGAGGCTAATTTTGTAGCACAAGTGCATATGTAAGTTTATCAATGGTTACCAGGGGCTGCAAGGAGGAAAGGAAAAGTTAATGGTGATGGAAAAATCACATTAAGGGTAAGCCAACTATTTTAACTGCTGTCAATAAGTTGTACACATGTAAAAAGTTGAATTGGTAAAAATCGTATGATAGATATATTTGCAATGACAAAAAAAAAAGTGTAGCAGCTGCTGAGGCTGCTTATGTACAATCAAAAACCTCATGGGATTTGGTTCCTTAGTCTGGAGGTTTAGGGACATGGTTTCATTGGACATTGCAGTTAATTGGCCTGATAACATGTTTAGTGCTTCTGTTCTACCAGCAGAAGTTTCTTAAAGATCACATTAACGGTTCTTGGGATGTTTCTGTGTCCTCTAGCCGTTGAGGACATTATGAAATGTTTTTTGATCACAGTGCTTCTTTTCCTTGGTAATTCCTCTCTTAGTTCTGGGATAGCCTCTTCAATTATGTGTTTATGTTTCCAGACACAGAATTATTTTTGCAGGGAAAAGTAAACTGATGTCCAACCTGCAGAAACTTCCAGAACACAATGATCAATAATACTATTTGAATTTCTTCCTGACCAATGCCAATGGTACAGCCCTGAATCAGGCAGGTGGCAAAGCAAACCTTAGCAAACTAAGGTGCCAGTAAGATTTAATAATTCACTCAAATATTTACTGAGAGAGTATATTTCAGGTACCAGTCCTACAAACTTACATAAGAGCAAGTAGGGTTATGACTCCTTTTCTTGAATGTAGCTTTGATAAACACAATACAGCAGAAATGAAGATGTGCCAATCTCTGGGCCCAGGACCTAAGAGAATGGCAGCTTCCACCTCTTATCTCTTAGAACACTCCTTTGAAATGGCTGCTCTGGAGAAGGTCAGAAGCCATAGAGCAAGGCTGACTAGCCTGATATTTCTATACATGGATAGAGTGTGAAACCAGCTTTCCAGCCATCATTCCAGTTCAGGTGCCCAGACATGTGAGCAAAGGAGCCATTTTGAACATTGCAGACCCAGCATACACCATACTAAGAATAGAGGCACTAGCCATATAGCCCTAATCATCTACAAAGTATAGTGCCTGGCACATAGCTAACAGATATTCAAGTATTCTGTTGAATGAACATCTCATAAATAGTATTTTAATGGGATTACCTTGAAGTGAGTGCAGTAGAGATGAGGTTTGAATAGACAGTTCAACATTCAGAGGTTGAACAGATGAAGAGGAACCAGAAAAGGAGTAAGAAAGTGTGGCCAGTAAGGAAAAAGAATAAATAAGAGAATGTGTTCTAGAAGGAAAGTAAGGAAAGTGCTTCAAGAAGGGGAAGTGATCAAGTATATCAACGATGCTGAGATGCAGAGTAAGAGCACTGAGAATTAATTACTGGGTTGTCAATTTGAAGGTCACTGATGACCTTGATTGAACAGTTCTGACAGAATGTTAGGTGAGAATAAAGCCTAATTGTATTGCGAACAGGAGGAGAATCAGAGAAGAAGAAACAGATCTTTTAAATGAGTTTTGTTGTCAACTGTAAAAGAGAAGTGGTTAGAAGGGGATGTGATGCCAAATTTTGTTGTTTGAAAGATAAGATACAGATTTTTTTTTTTAAGTACTAACAGAAATGATCCCGTAGAGAGGAAAAAGCTAATAATAGATAGGGGGCACAATTTAGTAGGTAAGAAAGGATAAGACCTAGCACAAAAATGAGCAGACTGCTTTAGACAAGAACAACAAAATAATTTATCTATAGTCAGCAAGAAGAAAAGTAGAGCACATGGGTGCAAATGTAGGCAGAGATATGGTGGAAATTCTGTCATTTTCTTCTACTTTCTCATTAAAATAGAAAACAGTTAACAAATGAGAATGAAGAGAGGGAGGTGTGAAACTGTCCTTTAGCACGGTACTCCAATACACTTGGGTGCATAACTCCCTGTAGAATTTATCATATTATGCTATAAATATTTATGTGCATATAACTTTCTCCACTAAACTGTAAAATAATTTAAGGCAAGGGAAGCGCTTTTTATCTGGGCACCACCAACACATTCTGCAAACAACTCTATGTTAACCATGGACTGAATGAATGATTGTTAGAGGTTCTTTCAAGACTTGTACCAAAGCCAAAACAAACTTTGAAAAGAGCAATAAATATAATGCTGTCAAGTATCTATTTGATAAACACACCCACTCCTTATGGACGTGGTTAGGTTCCAAACATCAGGTTGTTAAGCAAAAATCAGCATTATGCAAAAATGGAGGATGACCATATCTAATCACAAAACGGAAGATGACTACATCATCAGATAACTGCCCAATTACATCTTTATATAACTGCCAACTTTCACCCTAACTGCCAATCCACTGAGAATCATTACCCAGCCAAGTTGATACACAAATTTAACCATCACAGCCAGTGGTACTCTTGCCTTGCAACTCAGTGTTCGTTACTGCTAGACATATGTCATTAATGTGCAAAACAGTCAGAAAGATTTTTTACTGTTGTCATAAACACAAAATGTCAGATTAATGAGAATCAGTAAGTGAAGATGAGGTTTACACTCAAACGCAATTTGAAAATATTTAAACCATTACATTTCAATTTATATGTGAAATGAAAAAAACACAGCTAGAACATAAATATTTCTCTTTTACACACACTAAAGATATATTGAAATACTGATATTAAAAATAACTGTGTAGTATGTGAGTTACTCTGGAGAACGTGTCACTACTGGTTCTAATTATTCACCATTTTGTGACAAAATGCCAAGGTTTAGCTTCCAAAAAACCAGTATCTTTGAAAGAGGGTTATTACAAAGATATCTTCCCAGTTTAAAAAAAAAAAAAAAATTATTGATTTGGGTGAAGGGAAAAGCAAAAAAAAAAAAAAAGTAGAGAACTTCCACCTTCAAATCATGGGCATGTTTTGTAAGTATATGGTTTTATCTTTATACTAGGTGTGAGACCAAATAAAAATCAACTACCTTCAATGAAGTGATACAACAGAATGTGCTCCTAACATCTGAAACGTTCTCCTTACTTAAGATACTAATCAATACAAATGAAAAATAATCACTTTGATAAAATTTTTAATTGTCATACAAACACAGAATTGTAAATTGTGTTATTTGGAACACATTTTAAATCATTAAATTCAAAGACACAAAGAATAATGAGCACTATTAACAGAAAATCCAGAAACAAAAACAAATTTATATTTTCATTATCATTTAATTCTTTATTACTCTGGATATATTATTTTTAGCAAAAAAAGAATAGCAGTGATACTATATGCTCCTGGTTAAAAATTAAGAGCTATTTCATAAAATCTTATGAAAAGAAATGCCAATTATTACTTAATATGCCAAGTCTTATTACAAAAAATACCAAAGAAGACAGTCAACGGACTTGAGCAAACCAGTGATTTCTTCGGCTTCCCAAATATCTCTACAAGAAGCCTTTTCTGTAATCAACTGAATAATTCCAAAAACTAAGAAGTAGGTGAACAGGAATGTGAGAAGGTCTTGCGATACACACACACACACACACACACACACATATATCTGGTCTTACTCCGTGGTCACTGAAATGATGTTCATAGGAGCAGCTAGGGTAAGAAACCACACACTCCAGTGAAGTATACTTGTCAGTGACAGAGAGCCACTTGCTGCCATGACTCTCTTCCCTCTGATCTGAGGGCCAGTTGAGTTAGATGCAACAAAAATAAAACTGAAAGAGATCTGACGAGGAAATAAAAAGGAAGGTAAGCCTCAACATTTTTTACTTTTAGTGAAGTCATATGGTTTCCACCACTGAGCAAACTGTAGTGCTTTCTTCCTCTGATCCTCAAAGCTTTCTCGGATTCCTTTCCTCCAAAGTCTTGGTTCTATATCCAGCATACCACCAATGATTTCCTTTTAAAGAATGAGAAAAACACAAACCATGTGTGTATAAACAGTATTGTTTATATATAAGAAAAACACAAACCATGTGTGTATAAAGAGTATTTCAGTATTGTTTATACAATACTGAAAAAAAGAATGAGACTATTTCTGGTTATTATGGTACTAACTATATTAAATGTATAAATATTAGTTTCATGTTTTAAAAAATACTGTTTTCAATTAGTTCTAACTATGCAGATGCTGTAACTTTAGGAGTCCTGGCTGCATCTCTTGTCAAGCCATTTATCCATTTTGCTACTTGTTAGCACATGTTCCAGACAGTAGCAAAGGGAAGAAAAGTAAAGAAAAATTTAATTAATTTGGTTCTTATTAGTAGCTCTGGTAAACAATGTGGGGAAGAAGTCAATCAACATGTAGCAAATATTAGTTGCTCAATTTCAGTCAAATCAGGCTACTGTTTTCTCTGCTACTCAGTGTATTTCTATATACAAATCAATTTCTTCTACTCTTAGCTCGAGATTTTTTTTCAGGAAACAAAAAACACATTTTAATACTCATGTAAGTAAACCGAGAATTAAAAATTATAAATCATCTTCATTTAAAAAATCATATTCTTCAACCCTGAGAGGAATGACTTTTTAACTGTGCTTATCACTCTTGATTATTATCTTCACGATCTTCCTCCTATGTTGCTAGCTACAAAAACTGATCAAATTTATGCATGTGAGTATCCATGTACAGAAAGATATGGAGGAGACTTGAAATGGTTGATGGTGATGGGTATGGTAACACAGGAAAACACTGGCATAACAGTTGGATTCTATATACTGAAGCTCTATTGGGGACCTCTGGTAGCGTAGTGCCTAAGGCACGTGACTGCTAACCAGGAGGCTGGCAGTTCAAACCCACCAGTCACTCCTCAGAAGGAAGACTGGGCAATCTACTTCCATAGTGATATCGCTTTGGAAACCCAAGGAGGGGTCGCTATGAGTTGGGTCCAACTCAATGGCACATAACAACAACAACAAAGTGAGAACTTGCACAAATCACGTAGTTTCTTTAAAATGTAGCTTCTTCTTAACTCAACAAATATACCACAGGGGCCTACCATGCACTGGTTAAAAATTAAGAGCTCTTCCATAAAATCCTATGAAAAGAAAGGTCAATTATTTTTATTAATATGCCAAGTCTTATTATAAAAAATACAAAAGAAGTCAGTCAGTAGACATAACAACCCTGGGCAGACCAGTGATTTCCTTACTTCCCAAGTATCTCTTCAAGGCTTTTCTGTGATTAACCAAATAGTTCACAACACTAAGAAGTACACAAGGTAAATACCAAATATTGTACGGGACACAAACATACCTAATACATATCTATCTCCCTTCAGAGAGCTCTTAATAAAATCTGGAGTTGCACTGGGAGCCAGAATAAAAATAATCCAGCTATGCAAAGGACTGTCTTATAAAACAGAAGAAGATAAATGTCAAAGCATATAAAGAATCTGCTTTGAAGACTCAAGGGGAAAAAAAAGTTTCTATTTGTTACATAAATTGGGAAAAATTTCATGGAAAAGGGAGCCTCCTATCTTTGGGAAAGGGAAATAGAAGAAATAATTGGGCTAAAAGAGACTGTCAAAGACATCCTATAACAGGGCAAATGTAGGTGAAGTGCGAGTGTCTCAGTGTCAGGCCGAGGAAGCAGTGCAGTGTAAGGAGGTTTAGCAAGTAAGTGGCCTGAAAATGTCTTTATAAACATCAAGTTTATCTTATGTAACTCCTATAGGACTGATTTTTTTGTTGTTGTTACTCAAGCAGTTATTATTAATGGAGAGACTACCCCAGTAATCTCTTCTTGTTCTTCAAGCAACTGCTTAGGTAGTAGCTTAAGGGAGTTCTTGGACCCATAGGCTGTTTGTTGAAAAGGAAAGGTTGGGGAAAATGGATCAGCAAAGCAACACTAACAGGAAATTTTCCTTTTAACCTTAAAACATTACCACAGATACCATAATATATGGCATAATATTTGGAAGGAGGTCAAACCTCCCAATTACGTTTGTTGTTGTTCTGTGCTGTTGAGTCAATTCTAGCTCATAGCAACCCCATGGACAATGTAGAAATTACTCTGTAGAGTTTCCAAGGCTGAAAGCTTTATGGAAGTATAATGCCTATCTTTCTCTCAGGGAGCGGCTGGTAGGTTTGAACTTCCAATTTTTGATAAGCAGCTGAGCACTTAACCACTGTGCTACCAGGGCTCTTTAATTAAATTTACACAAGTGAAAAAAATAAAAAAAAGAATACTTCCTTTTTGCCAGAATCAAATTTGTTTTAAAATAAATCTAAGCTTTCAGTTATAAAACTGTAGTGAATAACAGTAAGATATTTGAGAGCAGTGAAAATATATTTCTTTGCAGTAACTCTTAGAAAAAAACATTTTGAAAATATCTCAAGTTTCTGTAATATATCTCAACAGTTCAAAGATGCATGTAATTCTGGGTTTCTGGTTAACACGTTAAGGACAACAGCATAAAAAGTTTTTAATCCAAACCTCTAAATTTGAGATTCCTTTTGATGTATTCTCATTCATTTGTGGAAGAGGCACTTATACAGGAAATGGAAGTGAGGGAAGAGGGGTGAAGGGAGCATCCCAGGCAGAGTTCCTCAAGGTCCCTGTACCTTAGAGGCACTGGCTACACAGCCATGATAGGAGCAGAGAGGAGTGACCTATCCCAGTTTAAAAGGTCATTTCTAGATCTTTTATTGCTCAGACTTCTTTTGACTGCTTCAGTTGCTGCATTAGTATCATTACATCCTTAATACTAATTTATACACTTTCCACATACTTCCACAGACCTTTAAGGACAACACCCCCAGAAGCAATCTCTAGTAATGGAAAAAACCTGACAACTGTTAAGCTGTAGACTCTAACGTCTGCCCCAAAACTGTGTGAATGAGTCATACATTCTTTGGATGATATTTTCCTTAACTGTAAATGAAGAAGTGAGATCATTTGCTCTCTAATTCAACCATGACTGTACGTACCCCAACTCTGTCATTTATTAGCGCCATGATCCTGGGCAAGTTACATAACCTCTCTATAGCTCAGTTTCTTCATCTATAAAATGAAAACAGTAATAATACCTACATAATAGGGTTACTGTGACCATTAAATGAGTGCTTAGAACACAGTAGGTCTTTAATAAGTGTTAGCAATTATCATCATGCTCAGCTGGCTCACTCCAAAGGCCAACATTAGAGTTACAGTTGACACTGTTAACAAGTATTTGGTTTCAAAGTAACACTCTTAGCCCTGCTGTAAATACTTTGAATCATTTTTACTAACAGTTTCTAAGGTTCCCCCCAAAATTTTAGCTTCCCTTCAAAATATAATCTCTTCTTGTTCTTCAAGCAACTGCTTAGGTAGTAACTTAAGGGAGTTCTTAGATCCATAGGCTGTTTGTTGAAAAGGAAAGGTTGGGGAAAATGGATTAGCAAAGCAACACTAACAGGAAATTTTCCTTTTAACCTTAAAACATTACCACAAATACCATAATATATGGCATTACATTGCTAAACATTGTGAGCATACCTTTCCAAAATAATGAGGGAATTTGTGTTGATCTTCAATGACATGGGCAAACCCTCCTTGGAGACCAAAATCCACAGAGAAATAAGGTAAGCCTCTGGGTACCTAAAAAAAGATAAATCACACATGAAATATGGATCAAATCAGAAAATGATGCTTAATCTTTCTTCTTACTCTCTAATGTAACAGTAATTAAGTATCCCCAAGATAAATGTATATAATAAATTCCAGAGACACTTAAGTAATGCCCTAACTTTCTAACTAAAACATTTCATGTTGGTAGCCTTTCAACCAGGTAGCTTCATAACATCTGGCAATTATCATCAAAACCAATTATTTTCTTGTCCTGAGGGAAAGTAGAAAAACAAATGGCACTCAGAATTTCTATATAACAAGCAGAGTATTTTTCAAACCTTACACTGCACAAACAGAGAATAAGGATATGCTTTCTTACATGTTACAATGCAGAACAGGAAGAGGGGCTTGACTGTATATTTACAGCTTTGTTCACAATATCCCTGAGATATTATGATTTACCAAAGATAAACCCCTCATTTCAAGATATCTCCAGGACTATCTTATCTATTATCTTTCTCTTCCTCTCTGCCTCTCCCACTCTCTCTCTCTCTACACACACACACACACACGTACACACACAGTATTTAAAACTGTATCTTGACTTGGAAAAGGCTAAAATTTATTTCTTTCTTTATCAATTAAATAGATCTTGTGTCCCTGCAGCTTTTTCCTTCAAGTCCTACATTTGTCACTAGAAATTATCCAAGTGGATTAATGTATAGTAACATCTCTCCTCTCTAATCCTCTCATGGAGTTAGCATTTACTTATTTTGGCACTAAATCACCTATTTCTATTCAACCATACATATTTTGTATTGTTTTCCCATGAAGGCAGGACATAGTAGAATGAGAGTAATCATCTTAAAGTATTATATCAAAACCCAATCCACTGCCATCGAGCCGATTCCAACTCACAGTGAACCTATGGGACAGAGTAAGGTTTCCAAAGCTATAAATCTTTATGGAGGCAGACTGCCTCATCTTTCTCTCTCAGTGGCTGGTGGGTACAAACCATGGACCTTTTGGTTAGCAGCCAAATACTTTAACCACTGTGCCAGCAGAGCTCCTTTGAAGTACTATAAAACAACTAAAATTGGGCTTATAAAGAATTCTTCTTGACAATCAGGAAAAAATAAAGTGAAAAAGTGACAAACAAGACTCTAATCACAGCTCTGATTCTTTCTTGTAACTGAGTAACCCCAGGCAAGTCATTTAACATCTCTTAGTCTCATGAGAAATATAAAGAGCTCAGAGGTTTGCTATGAGGATCAAGTAGAACAATGCATGTAAAGTGCCTAGACACATAGAAATTATTAAAAAATTAATTCATTTCTTTCTCCTGTACAAGAGTGCTTTATGCAAACCTAATGCAATCTACTTCCATAGAGATACCGCCTCAGGTATCAAGGAGGGATCACTATGAGTCTGGTCTGACTCGACAGCACATAACAACAACAACAACAACAGTGGTTAAAGGAAAAAAGAAAAGATGGAAGGCTTCATCAGAACACCATGTGTGAAGCATGAATCTAAATACCCCAAATGATGTTAAGAACTACATCTACTAACACACAGTACTTCAAGAGATAGAGAATTTGAGGAAGAGACAGAGCCCAGGCCTTCTGTCTGCATTGCACTGTAGCAAACAGAATAATGATCCTTTTCTAGATGTCAATGCCCTAATCCTCTATTTATCATAAGTATATTACTTTACACGGTAAAAGGGACTTTTCAGATGTGATTAAAGTTAGGGATTTTGACATGGAGGAGATTATCCTGGTTTATCCAGGTGGGCCCACTATAATCAAAGGGTCCCTATGAGAGGAAGACAGGAGGATCAGAACCAGTGAGACACTGGAGGATCCTATGGTACTGGCTTTAAAGACAGAGGAAAATATCACAGTCGAGAAATACAGGATGCTTCTAGATGATGGATAAGGCAAGGGTATAGATTTCCCCTGAGAGCCTCCACAGGGAATGCAGACCTGCCAACATATTAATTTTAGCATATTGAAACCCATTTCAGATATCTGACCTCCAGAATGTTACAATAATAAATGTGTGGGTTTTTTCGCATTTGTTAGAGCAGCAATAGGAAACTAACATACATACTAATGCTCAACAAGCTATGGCATATTTGCCAAGATGGCTCAATTAATACACAATTACTGTTACACAAAAGACAGTTGCTGCCATGAGCTTCTCCTCTGTATATCTTTGCAGCCTGAAAAAGATACAATCTGCTGCCTTACTAGAAAAGTCATTAGTGGTGGACAATGCAAAGACTCTGGGATCAGTGTGTATGTACATTTAGCATTTCCCTTTTCTTGCCTTGGCCTGCCAGAGGGAAAGGAACTGGAACTATGTCACCACTCATTAAAGGTACTGATAGAATATTTTATCTACAGTATAAAAGCACAAAAGTCTGAATTTTTCTCTTTTAATATTCCCTATCTATTGCTGTCCTTGAGTTTGAAGGTATCTGGGTTATCTAGTGGTGCTATAGGAGAAATACCATAAATGAGTGGTTTTAACAAACAGAAATTTGTTTTCTCACAGTTTAGGAGGCTATAAAGCTGGCTAAAAGCACTTGACTGCTAACCAGAAGGCTGGCGGTTCAAACCCACCAGCCACTCCTCGGAAGGAAGGTTGGGCAATCCTACTTCCGTAGTGATACTGCCTC